TTAAAACAACTTCTTATTACTCATATCATGAATTCTTGAATGATGATTTTTAGTGTGGATTAGGTAACTAGTGTTTCATAAGAAATTTTTATTGTAATTCTTAGCTAATTAATATTTAATTTGCACTTATTTTACTTTATTTTATTTAAAAGGTTATATGCATATCCTTTTATTAATATTGTAAGGAATTGCCTATTTTTCTGTACAACCTTAGTTGTTTTTGAAAATAAACTTATTATTATTATTATTGATAACTCCCTCCTTGCGGTATCATTGGACTATAACCCAAATAACCGTAGAAGACACCGAGGAGCCCGAGGTGCAGCCGAAACACTACTCGATTAAACTACCTAAACATCAATATTTGTTTGCCTAACAAAATTTGTAAATTATATTTGAAAAGATGGAGATGGGTTAAATAAATTAAACTAATCTAAACATAATTTAAACAAAAAAAAACAAAACAAAAAATTTAAAAATAAACATAAAATTCTTAAAAAAAAACAAAAGCCCAAACAAACTCTAAATCAAAATTAAAAAATCAATATTAACAATGTAGTACATTTAGAAAAGAGGCATACCACACCCATCTCCCAATAACCAAATAACTCATATACTCTGCTCATTCTTAACCATCTCGATTAGCTGTTTCAGACTCCAAGCCAGGACGGAGGCCCACATGATACTCCAAAACCACTATCCAAGGTATAATCTATGCAGACAGCGGGAGTGCAGTGACTTATTATAGACACTGATACTCCCGTTCCCCTGCTATATAATATTTAGACCGCTGGCGGCCCAAATACCTTTACAAACCCGACCCTTAAATAAATGTAAAAATATAATTCTTGCACCTTAACAAAAATAGAACAAGTCTGCATAATAGTATGTTAATAAATAATAATAATAAGGAGAGTTCCAATAAAAATGTCAGAACTTAAAAAACAGGGAGAAAAAATATCTTTGGGATTTGCTGTTTTTTGTGTTCAGTAAAAATTAAAGATTCACTATGAGTCTTTTTCTTCTACCACAATGTTTATAGGTAAATGGTTCAAACGTATTATCTTAATTCCATTTCTTTATTTTCACGACGTTAGTTACAATAAACTTATTGCGCAGAAAGTCAATAATTGCAAGATTATAAATTGGGCACTGGGATCGTGTGATTTGAAAACATTAAATTACTTTTTTTAAGCTACACAAAACAGGGACCCGGACCGGACCGTTTTTGGACAGAAAACCGGACCGAAACCGGTATATATTTGTGGACCGGAACCGTAACCGAACCCATATTATTTTTAAATGCAAGTCTAGAGACCGAACCGGAACCCTTTAAATTTAAAACGGTTTTTTAGGTTATTTTCAGTTTTTTCTTAAATTCTTTTTGCAAAAATTTAATTTTTTTTTTAACCAAATAATTTTTTATTATTTTGGCAACAATGCAAAACAACTATGACTAACATCATGTCAATGACATGTTAGTGAAATTGCCTACAGATGGCAGCATCGAAGTATGTGAAAAATGTCCATACAAGTAATTGAAAGACGCGCCATTTTGTAAGAAATGAACGACCATCTTTTATATGTGCTTCTTTGGGGTTTTCTAAGCCATTCTCTATGTTCAAACTTGGTTAAAATGAGACGAAAAACAACTAACCCTGCCCATCAAAAAGAAGTTTTTTTATTTTTATATAATTTATTTTAATTATAAATTTTCTCAATCACAAGATCAGAAGAAAAAAATAAAGAAAGCCAGCCGATCGATAATAAAAATAAAGAAGAGAATGAAGGCCCTAAAATTAGAGAACCTCATTTAAAAAATAAGAAGAGACAAAGTAATACTTTATTTAATTACTTGCCAAAAAAAAAAATTAATAAACTTTTCATCTTATAATTTAAGTACTTATTTACACCTAGTAAAAAAATTGGAACCGAAAAAAACCGTATGGACCGAAAAGATTGGTCCGGACCGGACAGAAATATTTTTTTTGGAACCGTAACTGAACCTGAACCGAAATTTGTCGTTTCTCTCGGAACCGGAACCGGACCGGAACCGTTATTTCATTTGGGTCCGGGTCACAAAAACACAAGTTTACAGCAACAATCTCACGCCACTAGATATCCTTAAAGTCAACATTCGACACGTAATTGGCATACAGCCGGACATACTGCACCGAGAGGTGTGAACCCTGCAGTAGCCCCTTAAATATAATATAAAATATGCTTATTAATAAAACCATTTGCATTTTTTCCCTCTAACCAAAGTCATTCTTATATATATATATATATATATTGTTTTACTTAATAATAAAAATACCAATATAAATATTTATACATTTATTTTTACTACATTTAATTAGGATGTTAATAGTTGTTCGTGACTAGTACATTAATATTACATTTTAATAAAGTTTTTCTTTATGAAATTTTTTTAGAATTTAGAAATATTGGCCTCTATTTTTTTGGCTAATCAAGTAAATTATTAAAAAACATACAACAAAAGTATTTTAATTAAGTATACAAACTACTATAAATAATAAAATTCGAGCCTATACAGTGTGTCCCAAAAGTCGCCCACCATCTTGAACGGGAAAGATGTACAGACACACAGGAATCCTAATTCCTAATCCTTATTTAAAAATATATGAGAGCATAAACATTGCGTTTTTAAACTAAAAATACCTTGATTACATTTTTGTCAGCTTAGGGCGTCCTTTGTTTAGGGTGTGTTCCACTACACCAAGTTGCCCGACACTGATGAGACCCAAAACAGCTGTCTGTCGGTATTTGAAGTTGGTGGAACGCAGTCAAAACAAAAAACTTTGGCGAGGTGTAGGTTCAATTTTTTCTTATAAATATTGTCTTATTATGAAGATTAGAATGCTCAAACAATGGTTTCATTAGAAATAAATGTTTTATCTTATGCAAAAATGCATTTTACGATTTTTACTTTAAGAATAAGCATTAGGGTGTAATTTTTAAGCAACTTTTTTTTTTCAACTAAAAAACAGGCTAAAAACTTTCAGGAAGGTGAATAAAGAAACCTCTAAAAATTTGAGCTCTTAATATTAACATTAAGTGGTGCCTGTTCCTAACTTTCCATTTTCCATTTAAATAACATGGACATTTTTTTTTCTTTTTTCTTATTTTTGTAGCTTGACATTTGAGCATTGTAAAAACGAACTGAAAAATTATTTTGGTAGAAAATTAAACGCTCTACAAAAAAGTTTCAATATATTTTTTCATACAGTGAGCCGTTCTGAAGGTATTCAAACTTAAAGTTGCCTTTAACATTTCGAATCGCGGCACGTTAGCTTGCCTCTAGTCACTGTGTAATCCGAACGGTAATATACCGACTGAGCCGATATAATCTTTTATCAGAGATTAAAAATTCAATACAATAACAAAATCATTGTTTTATTTAATCTATTATAATTATTGAACAAATTTATTGAACACAAATAACTTTTTTTGATAGTAAATAAAATAAAATGGAAAAAAATAAGATGAAAGTGTTATTTTCTTTCTATTCGAAAATAATAATTTTTACTTAATAGTAGATTATGTCATAAGGAGTAGAAGTGGCTCTTTTTGTGGTGAGTACAGAGATTGACGGCCGAAGCGTAGCTGAGGCAGGCAACTGTACGAAGCACAAAAAGAGCTTCTACTCCAAATAACATATACAATTTTTTTTTCAAGGGCGTAATATAAATAGGATAAGCAATAGAATTATTTTATTTACTTATAACTCATGTGGTATAAAATTTTGGCTAAAAGCATTACAAATTATTGATAAAGAGTAAAAAAACTTATAACCCTTACTTACAATGCCGATAAATATCCTAAACCATAGATAACAAAGCCTAAACTAAAAATAAACACTGCTCTGTCAAAATGCTGCGCTTGAATTAATTTTGACGTACTGACATTTGTTTGGAGTTCCGACATTGGCGACTCGTCTATCATCATTATATTATACTAATAAACTAGTTGTTCTTTATTTCGTTCAATTAAAATTTAATAAATAATCACTAAATATTCCGTGCGATTATAATTAATATAATTAATATCTACATCGTGATTGCTTTGTATGAAATGCTAAATTAATTTTATTATTTGACGTCTATTGAGTCACCTATGGATTTACTTCTATCCCTATAGGCTTTTTTGAGTTTTTTGTCTGCCGGTAATGAAAAAGACGTACTTCAACTATCTCTATACATGCATATAACGTTGTATATCATGGCCGCTTGAAAAAAAAATAATTTTTAATACATAAAAAGTATTAGTTTAATAAAATAAAAGTCATAATTTTATACATTTGCAATACCTTCAGAACGGCTTACTCTATGAGTATGAGTATGAGTATAAGAGACGTATAACCAGCCCCATTTCCTCTTGACTCTCGAACCCCGTACAGGCCTATGTTTACTTACGCCGATTTTTGTTCTTCCCCAGCAACTGCACGGCTTCACCCGTGTTTGCTGGGTGCGAATGTCCATTGCGTTACGTACTGTCCCCTATTTGGGGCTCGAGAGCGAGAGGCGAATAGTTATAATAGCCATTCCCGGGTTCGCCGAGCCTATGCTATACGCTCGGTGGGGTATGGATGAGGGACGGGAGGGAGTTGGTTTTTGGGGGACAATTACGCCGACTTAAAACTAAGTACGACGCGGAATCCCCCTAGACCAGTCGATTAGTATTACTCCAAACATTTGGGATCACTATTTGGAGTTGGGGAGTTGTTATTTCGCTGCAGGGGTGTAGTTTCCTAGTCGATGTCTTTGTCTTGTTCGTTATTGTCATTGTCCGTGTCCTGGTCAGATAGTTCCTGCCCTTGGTAAAGTGTGTCAGTTGTTTTTAATAATTTTTGTCCCAAGCACGTTTTGTGGTAGAGTTCCGTCTTTGTTTATCAAATTCCAAAGCATTGCATTTATTCACTAGTCAAACAAATCACAAGCGCGATTATTCTGTTGTCTAATGTTTACAAACTCGAGTTTGGCTATTAGGCCCTTTTTTTTAATGTGTTAGAATTTTGTTCAATGTTAGTTTACTCTGTCAGTCCAGTGTTTATTTTCCGGCTCGATTGGGTCCGCCTTACGCATTTGCTGTTGACAGACTTATTGCCCCACGCTGCGTGCCCTTCTTAGGTTTTAAAGATATCCCACCATTAACATTGCCCGTGTAAGAATTTTTAACACTTTTTAATACAATTTTGCAATGATAGTAATTAAAAACAAAACAATTGTTTAAAGAGTAAAATATGTTCTTAACATAATCATATTTTAAAGTCATTTTAACATTTTCAAGTAAAATAAATGTTATGTTTAATGAAATGAATACGGGCAATGTTAATGGTTAATGTTTATATTGCAGATTTGTATCAGGTCATGCATACTCTTAAAGTAAAACTTATCAGATTTTTCCCCTTGCGGATGGCCACCTCCCCTCTTCTCCGACCTCCCCCGTCCGTCCAGTGATAAGCCTCCAATGACAGGTGGCACCCAAGTCATTCATATCACCCAACACTCCGCTCCTCAATGACCGTTACACCATTTTAGCTTGCACTCCATGAAAATGTTTGTTTCACTTATCAGTTCGCACCTCTTTTTTTTTTAAAATTATTGTTGGTTTCATCTTTAAACTTTTACGTTTCAAGAGATCTCCCGCACGCGAGTCGCGAGCATTGCTGTTTGTAAGTTTCAAGAGCGCGACGGCAAGATGTAAGATGCGACTAACTTTGACGAACACTCGAACGTGACTGACCTTCAGAACGGCTTACTCTATGAAAAAATAAATTAGTACTTTTTTGTAGAGCGTTCAATTTCCTACCAAAATATTTTTTAGTTCGTTTTTACAATGCTTAAATGTCAAGATACAAAAATAAGAAACAAGAAATTTTTTTTCCATGTTATTTAAATGGAAAATGGAGCTCAATTTTTTAGAGGCTTTTTTTTTCACCTTCCTGAAAGTTTTTAGCCTGCTTTTTAGTTAAAAAAAATAAGTTACTCAAAAATGACACACCCTAATCAGCATGCGTTTGGCAAAAAATAAATAAATGATTTATGATTTATATCGCACATGGGCGACAACAGTGTCATAAGTCAAAAAAACTGAATTTTGGGTTTTTTTGTGCAATAAGTGTAAAATTACTAATAGTTCATACTGCAACAGTGGCAAAAATAAATTTTTGAAATTAATCCCTACATGGAGACTTGTGTCTGTCTGCAATTTGTATAATCCCTATCATAATTTTCATCAACAGTGTCATAAGTAGGTTGTGACAGTAATTTTGTTAACGTAGGTTAGTAAAATGACAATAATAGTATATTATGTATCAAGTTTGATAAACGCCATTTTATACACGAATTTAATTTAGGCACGAGCGAGCTTGCGAGCGAGTGCTTAAGTTAATGAGTGTATAGAAATGTTTATAAACGAGGTGCATACTATACTTTTTCTACGACAAATACTTATTATTATCTTAAAATAATTTAAATCAAAAATTTGTATAGAGCGCCATCTATGAAACAACAGGGGAAACTGTCAAATGTCATATTTTTACATTTTATAAACACAATTATAAAGGTTATAAATCGAAATGTATCTTGAAAATTGAAAGTAAAGGAAATGTTTTATGAGGACTTAACAGTATAGTCCGTGCCCGAATTTAAGTTATAGTTTACTGCCGGCGAAATTAAAAGGTCAGTACAATGTTCATATAAACTTTTCAAATATTGGCGTTGAGAAACTATTTAATATTTTTGTATTGAGATAATAAAATAATTTTCACATTTAGTAATATTTTACAAGAAAGGCACTTTATTTTAACGATTGTATGACATTTGACAACTGTCAACTAACTTAAAACTAACTTCAGTCCGTGACTAAAAACCTGTTGCTTACTTCAGCCCGTGACTAAAGCGCCGTAAAGCCACAACTTATCAATGTGTATTTAAAAGGTCACTTAGTGTCATGGAAACATGTACGATAAAGGGCGTTTTAAAGGTGGGAGTAGAAAAAAGAATGAATAAGTGACCCTCCTCACCTTAAGGCAAACGGTCGTGTGTCTAGGGTCTCGTTTAAAGCGTTCGTACTTTCATAGTGCTACCACCGCTATCGGTGTTAAAATTCATAAAATCAATTAATGATTCCACAAGTGATCTACCAGAACCAAGTATAAAAAGGGTGCAAGTTGCGTGTGGCAGCTCCTTCTTGATTAAATCCCAAACAGCTCTACCTGCGAAAAAGGGTAAGTGAGGTTATTGGATACAACGAATAATTTTTCCTTTATTAACGACACAGAAACAATACCTGCTAATAGTTGGCTGTCGAAGTTAAGGAATAATTTCACAACACCTGCCTGTCAATGCACCCGAAGTCCAAGTCTGCATAAACCGAATAAGTAAACCTACCAAAATTGGATGACCTTAATAATACTCAAATACTAAATTTTAATGCAAAATTCGCAACATCAACTTATAAAGAAGTCCACCAGGTAAAAATTAATTAGTCGCCAACAGTTTCCTTAGGAACAAACAGCAAGCATAGCCAAAGAAATCATAAATAAGGACTTACATAAGCAGTCATTAAATACTCAAGTTCAGATAAACCCTAGGCAAAAGAAACTCCTGTTTTTCCTAGTTTACTAAGGACATTTAAGGGAAACATACATTACGTTCTATCGCATATGCGAAATAATAAACAACCGCACAGTGGGGTGCAACGTTATCGATAGTCAGATCGGAATCCGACTCGGACAAAGACACATACGAACAGGAAGTACTTACTTTAAGACCAGCAAGGATAGGTCCTAGCAGCGTACTAACCAACCAAGCCTTCTTTATGAACCCCAATTGAATAGGTAATTACTAAATCCCTGGTTGAGGGGATTGTACTTAGTTTTGGGTCAGTTCAATGTCCCTCGAAAACAAAAATGTTTGTCCGCACTCCACTAGCCTAAATCGGGCGTATGACCAGGCCTGGCAACAAAATTCCGAAAGTGGCCTTAATCATCAACACTGTCATCCACGACCTACTGGGCGAGATTTACCAGCCGGGTTTAAAAAGGTGGTAAAATAACCCTGGGAAATCAGTGTAAGGCGTTGCCGATGGGGCCAGCCATACGTTCCTCATATTCCTAATCAACAATAAAATAATGAATAATTAAAAAATTTATCAACACATTTTTAGCAATACAGACATATCTGCCAAATTCATGCACATATTTTCAGAAAAACAGACATATCTCCAAAATTGATGCACACCTTCTCGGCAACACAGACATATCTACAAATAGCTCTTATCCAAAAAGGGTATTTTCTAAAATTTAACTTTTAACTGGCTCAGAATCTTAGTGTGGTTCATCCTTTGCAAAGAAAATACTGTAAGTTAATATAATTTTGTAAATATGTGAGAATTTTATTATTCAAAAATCTTTGACGGTCAATATCTCGGAATTCAAGTTTTACTACTTATGACACTGTTGTCGCCCATGTGCGATATTTACAAGTTAAATAATATAAACAAAATAAATTAAACTTAAAGTATGATATTACTAGCACTAATAGTACTAATATTTATTGGTATTGTTTTTGGCATTAGATCCTTCACAAAAATCGTTCTTATCAAAATATAAATCAAAACATAAATAACATTTTTTGTAGGGTATTTTTATGACTTTAAATCATATTTTTTGTTCATCGTTGGGGAATTTTAAAAACTTTTATTTCTGTAGCCATTTTTGTAAATTGGTAAATAATAAATATTTGTACAATTTGGGGCAATACATTTAAAGCCTGGATTTATATCACATATTATTTATATGGTTATCATGTAGAATTAATGGTAATCCTATTATTGTAAGCAAACTTGGATTTAGTTTAATCAGTTATGTATGGCGGCGCTTTAAACACTGTTCCTGCTACAACAATGCATTTGACTACTCTCTTTTCCTTTATCTATGGTTATAATAATTAAAAATTAAACTACCACTTGATTAGTATGCAATCTTGCCATTTTAAAAATAGATATCTTCTGGATCTTTTTATATAACGAAGGTGTTTTTTACAATTTTCTGGGATCCGTATATCATAAACCTTTAAGATGGTGCGCGACTTCTGGGACACCCTGTATAATTTTTATTAATGTCATTAAATTAAGCTTTATTATTATTTATTAGATTCCTTTTTTTCTTAAGTTAAGTGGCCTATTAAATAGTAAATGCAAAATAGAATTCAATATTTGCTGAAACATATTTATTAAAGCGTTTAAATGGTTTTCAACATCTTCAATTACTGGAAATGGAGAATACATATTAGGTTGAACCTTAAACATATTACTTGGGTTTTCTTGTTCTTTAGTGTAAATATACATATAACAGGAATGGTTTGATCCAGTAGTATGGATTTTATGAAAAAACCCCACTTGAATTGAAATAATATCACCCTTATATAATTTCACTCCTCTGGATTGCATCGACTTCTTGTCTTCAACTTCAAATATAACTTCTCCTTCAAGAATGGTTAATGAAACGTTGGTTACATCTTGTCCAATAAAATTTTCCAAATACATTCCTTAAAAATAAGTAACATTTAAATTAAAATGTAATATTTATTTTTACAACTTTAAAAATTTAAAATAAAATAAAAGGGGAAAACAAATCTAATACAATTTTTGAAAGTACAATGTATCCTTATTGAGAAAGCAGTTTGAAAGTTATGCAGCATATGTCAAATTGCCTTGGAAATAAAAATATCTAAACATACTTTGACTAAGATGACAAGTACTTTGATCAATTTGTTTTTTGTTAAAGTATGGAAAATCTTTCATAAGACGCAAACAGGTAGTATGAGATTCTTACTTAACTACCCTAGTAGAAATTTGTCCAGTTTTCCTCACTACTGGTAGGGCGCTGGTTGGATTTAGATAGGGAAAAACTAGAAAGGGAAATCCTAGATCGGCCCCGACTAGGAACTAACCAGTAAAACTTGCCTAGTTGTGGCTCGGCTCCGACTGACTAGTTCACATCTAGTTTCCCTCATTAAATCCCAGTCTAGGCTGAGTCAAGTTTTCCTCGCCATAAACTTGTAAGTAAATGTATGGAAAATCTTTAAGATCAATCTTAACATTCCATTCCTGTGGATCGATATAATTAGAACATAATGACAATAATTGTTATAACAATTATTGTCATTCTTACTCTTGGAATGGATTGCATTAAACGTTTTACAATTTAAATATATTTGATTTACAAGGCTTCTCTCGGACAAAAATTTAAGGAAATATGTTTTTGAGATGCTTCTTTGTTTCAAAGATAAAAGTTGTTTATTTAATTAAACACCTTTAACTTAAGTTAAACTGGGAAAAAATTTAAGATTAAGATTTTTTGGGTGAGATTTAAGATGAGGGTGTATATTTAACATGCCTGTAGAAATCAAATGGACAAACACAATTTGTTAATATTTCAAATAACTTTTATTATATTTGCGTCCCGTCTCACTAGATGGCACCACGATTTTACAGATAATAAATAAATTTTTAATATATTAGGTATACCTACCTATCGAAGTTGGTAGACCTGCTTATGTGACATAAGTTATGTCATTCTTTTTTGTGCTTTATGGTAACCACGTTTGTTGAATCAATACTTAAGTTTTTAGAAAAATTGTGCTAGATTTATCAAGAAAATGGGCAAAAGGCTTGGACACTCGCCCGTTACTACTTCCTCAAGCAGCTCTGAAGAGGAAAAGGAAAATTTACGACGTAAATTAAGGAAGACAAGAAGCAAATTCAGAGCCGCTAAAATGGCGGCAGATCAAGAACCTATTATTTCGTACGGAGGTACCTTCAAATCCTTCCGTATTAAAGGTTAGTTATTTTAGACGTCGTATGCCTGTCCTTTCTAGACTAGCATTAGTCTCATTTAATTACAGTATTGTGCTTAAATTTATCCCAACCAAAAGTTCTAAAGTTTTATGGGATATTTCAGGTGAGTCACCAAATTTTAATAATATTATCCCTTCAAACACCCCCCAGGATCCACTGGCATTAGATACAATTCCACCCTTAAGTGACGACATGTGTAAAGTAATTCATCTGAAACAGGAAATACAGACACTATTCACATTTCGCAAATAGTATAAAAAGTACCTACGATACATTTATCACTTAACACTAGTCCAGTTTAATAGTCGAAAATAATGCGTTTAGATACAGTCCAATAAAAATGCATTGCCTTTAAATATCATTAAATTTAACGCAAATATTCAGGTAACTTCCCTTAAAATTTTATTTGATTTCGATTGAATGCAAAATGAAATGTGGACTTCAACCCAACATTTTTGAATAATTATTAATTATTGCCTTAACATTTTAGATTTCATTGATGGACAAAAACTACCGGATAAACAAAGGCTTACGGCAAAAGAGTTTGAAAAAGCTTTAAGCTTCCAAAGACTAGAGTGGGGGCAGAACCGAAAAAAAAAAGAAAAAAAGTGAAAATGTAAATATATTTAAATCTAATAAAAAAAATTTTGCTACTGGCATTTATTATTGGTTAAAAAATTCACAAATATTCTCAACTAGTTTTAAGCTAGTTTTCCCTACCAGCTTTTCCCCAGTAGTTCCCCACCAGGAAAAGCATTATATGACTAGTCAGAAACTAGTAGGGATTCCTAGCGAGGCCCTCGTTTCATTTGGGGAAAACTAACTAGCGCCCTACTAGTTCCCCATTTAAATTTCTACTAGGGTAGTACTTTATATTGGAATTTTTATTTGCTTCTCTGTATTGTAACGAAGTTATATTTTTCCGAATAAAAATACCAGTCGAATTGTGTTCTAGATTTTTATGGAATGTGGCAGGTCGTAAATTAAGCGTCGTTTAAAATTAGGCAGATCGGATTGTGAGCAGTGTGCTCAAATTTAAACCGGACGGCAAAGTACCTCCTGCGCAATCGTCACTCCTACGAGCATAATTAGTTACACATACGATCATAATTTTAAACTTTTAAACGCACTTTGTGTTTTGTTTCTGATATTTGTTTAACATATCACCAAAGTTGTCCTTTTTCAAGTATTATAATTTTATAAATAAGTGATAAGCTATATATAAGAAGAATTTTTTTATAATTATTAGAAAATGTATTTCTAATAGCTCATAAACCTATGAAATGTGTAAAAATTTTTAATTGTTTTTCACACATACACCGCAAGAAAAACAAAACAGCAATAAAGTACCCTATAATATCCCAGACAGCAATATGACGTTTTAATTAAGTCTGCATAAGCTCTACTTTATGAAGTTTTTAAGAAGTTCTCGACTTCGAATGCGCCACCTATTGAACTAATCAAGACTTCACAAAAAGAACTCTAAGGAACCATTTTCTTTGACTTCGCAATTAGGCATTTTGATTCCAATAAGAGGTCAGAAAAAAAGATACTTTTTTTTTTAAATTTATTTAAATTTAAATTTATTTAAATTTATGAATTCATCAAGAACTCTTAATTTTAAGATGTCATATATATTGAAATTAAAATGGCGGGCAGCGATGATGACGATAGTGAAATGCCTGCGGATGAAAACAAGAAAAGTGAAGGAAATATGAAATGTTGTGCAAAGAAAACGTGTGCAGTGTATGTGTGCGTAAATTGTTATGGGATATACCATAAAAGCTGCCACAACAGAAATCCGTCGTCTAAGATAATTGAAGGAAATAAAATCGAATGCTGCATGGCCGACAATAAAATGGTGGCAGCATCAAACCGCGAAAAAATCATGGAAATAGAAATATTGTACCTAAAACAATTGCTTGAGGAATCCAAAGATAAAAACAATATACTAAAAGTGAGTAATCAACTGCTAATGGAAAAGGTAGTAAACTTAGAAAATATAAATGCAAAAGCGCAAGATTTTAACAAAAAATTATACAGCAAAAAGGCGGCAAAACCGATTCAAAGCAGGGATTGCAGCCGACAAAAATGCCACTATACAGTGTTCCCAATGGTTCAAATCAGAGTATTCCCAAAGCCTCAAGTTAGAGTAGGTCAAATGCAAAAACTCCAGAAGAAGAAGAGACAGTTATTGACAGTTCAGCAAAAACAAATAAAAGAGATGAAAATATCAATGAAATCAAAAAGAATGTTGGCTATAAGAAAGTAAAGAAAAATTTGGGAACTGGTGTCAACAGCAAGGACTTTGCAGGTGGTGACAGAAAAGTGTGGTTATATATAAACAGGGTAAAACGTACAGCAACAGAAGATATCATAAAAAACTACCTACATAAACAACCAGGGTTTGAAACAGAAAATATAACCGTGAAAGAATTACCAAAGAGACGCATTTAAAGACATTTGTGGTGACAGCTCCAATCTCAAGAAAGGATGAACTATATAACCCAAATATATGGCCTCAATTTATAGGAATAAAATGTTTTGATTTCAATAGGCATAAGGATTTTCTTGAACAGCAAGGAAATTTTTTAGACTAGAACACCAAACTATTGAAAACAATAATCCAATAAGTCAACCCAAAGTAAAATGCAGAAATAGCCACGAAAATACAACATACAAGGCAAAAATAGAACGTTCACAAAAAAACGAACTACCAAAAAGCAGTGAACTAGAAATAATACATCAAAATATACAGTGTCTCAGAAACAAAAACCTGGATCTGGAACTATTCATAAACACACTGGAGGTCAAACCAGATGTTATATGCATAACGGAGCACTGGCTAGAAAAAACAGAAGCTGGAAACATAAAAATTCAAGGCTATGATACACCTTCAATGTACACAAGAGAAAACTCGCAACATGGGGGGTCATGTATTCTACTAAGAGAAGAATTGCAAGATTTTGCTGAGAACATCGACTTCAAGAATAAAAGGATTGAAGGTATAATTGAGATATCCAGTGTAATGAGCAAAAAAAGAAAACTGCTCATCTTATCAATATATAGAACATGTCTATGTAATTTTAATGATTTTATTGTTATATTTGAAGAAATCTTAAACAGTATATGTAAATTTATTAACTATGATGTTGTGTTATGTGGAGATTTTAATGTAAATCTATTATTAAACAATAATGAAAAAAAATAATTTCCTGGACCTTCTAACAAGTGTGAATTTTAAAAAGCGGAGACGAAATAATTACAAGTGAATCAATTACCTACGAGCTTAATCGTAAATATTAAAACTAAATTTTTAAACATATTACCCAGCCGGCGAAGGCTAAAGTCATCTTTCAGGTCATAGATGGCGTAAAGCACGCTATATGTCAAAGTGCAGAAAATGACAAGACATATAGAAGACCACTTCGAAGGACGGTAGATGGCGACAAATTACTTTCGTCTCACCGCTTTGAATGATTGCATTTTCTATAAAAGGAAGAGCAATCAAAATTTCGTTCGTGTCCGCACCAAACAGCAACTCGGCACTGATGAGATCCAATAGATCGAAACAGCTGTCTGCCGATGCTGGTGTGGAACACGAACGAAATTAAACAAAAGCGGAGACGAAATAATTACAAGTGAATCAATTACCTACGAGCTTAATCGTAAATATTAAAACTAAATTTTTATACAATATTTTCACCTACTAGAGAGACAAAAGTCTCAAAATCATTGTTGGATAACATTTTTGTAAATTTTAACCATAAAAATAACTCTGTAATCATTTCAGGCCTCTCTGATCATCATTCGCAAAGAATTACATATGTTTCAAATTATAATATAGCTAAAAATAACTCAATGGTAACAAAAATTTTTTTTTCAGAAAATCGAATGCAAAACATGTTCTTTGAATTGCAAAATCTAGAGTGGACAAACCTTTTACTAATGAATGATGTGAATATGGCATATCAATATTTTAGTGAAAACTTAAATTCCAAATTAAACCTTGTTTTCCATAAAATAAAAGTTGGAAAGAGATCTAGGGGGAGAACCACACACTGGATATCCCAGGGTATCAAAGTTTAAAGCAGAAGAAAAAGATTTCTATATGAACAAAATGTAAAAGGTAACATATCTGATACAAACTATAAAAAAATATTCTTCCATCTCGAAGAAGGTCATTAAAAAAGCCAAAACCACAAGTCAGTACACTTTTATCAAGAATTCTGATAACAAATCCAAAGCCACCTGGCTACTTATAGATCAAGAAACGAATAAAAACAGAAAAGTTAAGTCTATTCTTACCAACTTTCCAGATCACGCTGAAATTGACGTATTGAATAATATTAATAACTTTTTTATAAACACATGCCCAGAAATAAACAAAGATAAAAATCCAAATCTCTCTAAAGTTGATGCCTGTGTCAGTTCAGTGTTCATGATGCCTATCTCCGAACTTGAAACATACAAAATTATAATGAAGTTAAAACATAAAAAATTAGTAGGGTATGATGAAATTCCTGTTTCCTTGTTAAAATACACGGCAGGTTGTATTTCTGTACCGCTAAAGCATATAATTAATTGCTCTTTTAGAACTGGGGTGTACCCTGAGGCGCTGAAGAAGGCAGTGGTCAGACCAATTTATAAAAAGAATGGTGACAAAAGAGTCCTAAATAACTATAGGCCAATTTCTCTTCTTTCAAACATAAATAAGGTATTTGAAAAGGCAATTTATGATAGATTGATAAATTTTTTTGAAAAAAATTATACCATTATAAAACAGCAAAACGGGTTCCTAAAGGGGAAATCAACTGTTACAGCCATATATCAAGCTTTAGAAGGGATAATAAAAGCCTTAAATGAAGGGAAAACCACAGCAACATTATGCCTAGATCTGCCCAAGGCCTTTGACAGTGTTGACAATGGGATTCTTCTGAAGAAGCTGGAGTTGTGTGGAGTTCGCGGGACGGCTTTACACTTGCTTGGCTCATATCTGCTAAACAGGATCAAAGATTAGTAGAGATTGGAGAAACGGGTAACCAAATTGCTTCGGAGTATGGGTATGTGAGCAGGGGAGTGCCTCAGGGGTCCATTCTGGGTCCATTGTTATATTTAATTTATATAAATGACATAATACATGCCTGTAGTAATGAGATGGTCATTTATGCGGATGATACATCTGTCATTTATCATACAGAACATCTGGAAAGTTGTAAATTGCAGGTAAAGAGCACACTTGAGGTTTTAGATGAGTGGTTCTCCTCTAACAATCTTCTCTTAAATATATCAAAGACACAACTGGTTAGTTTTGGGATCAGATCGAATAACGCCTTTAGTTTGCAGCACGGGAAAACGACAATTTCAACGGTAGATAACGTGTCATTCCTAGGAATAGAAATTGACCAAAAATTAGACTGGAAAAAATAAATTGATATATTAACAAACAATTTAAATAAATACTGCTTTGCATTAAGAACTATATCTAATAACATAAGTGAAGAAGCAGCCAAAATTGCCTATCTTGCATATATAGAGTCTAGGCTTAACTACGGAATAATATTCTGGGGTAATTCCGTTGAAGTTAATCGGGTCTTTATGATGCAGAAACCGTTTTTTATAAGTAAGCGTCTTTTGACCCTGTATTGTTTGTATATTTAAAATTGTAAAGTTTGTTACTGAAAATTTTGATTCATTTAAGAATTCCGAAACAAAACATGTATATGATACCAGGCAAAAGCATCTTTTCACCGATAAGCCAAATTATTCCTATGTCCAGAAAAATGTCACGCCCAGTGTTATCAGAGTATGGAATAAATTGCACAGTCCCTTTAGATTGTTACCGAAAAACACAATAAAATTGAGACTGTAACAAGTTCTAAATCGGAGGATTACAATATGGCGGAGTTCTTTGATGAAACAAATTTTTTAGATCTGTAGTATTTTACTAAGGTTTTGTTTATTGAATGTGTTGTTTTTATTGTCTACAATTTATATCAAATACTGTGATATGATCCACACCCTATGGGTGTTATGTATGTAATTTTTAAGGATCAAATATACATTATTATTATTATTGTTGTGACCTCGGTAAGATGTTTTTTAACAGACTTCGTACAGAAATCTTTCTGAATTGGATGCTCTCTGGGATATTATAGGGTCTCTATGATTTTACTACTGTCTAATATCAGACACAGGTACGTGGTGCTTTTCCACTTTAAATAACGAAGCTGGCGCCCAAAAAACGTTACAAATTTCAAAATAAGCTTACAGTATCATGGAGCGGATGGTGTGGTAGGTATTTTTCAATGTTCTTACTTTTTCTATGAGACTTTTATGGGATATTAAAAGTTTTTTCGGCGCTGTGTCAGGGCCGGATTAAGACAATTTGTTGCCCTAGGCCAACAATAATGGCGCCTATAATTACAGCCCATATTTAACAGCCAATTCTCATGTAAAATTGTACCCTGAATCTGAAAATGTCGTCAAAAGTTAAAAACAGTTTTTGAGATATAGTCAATTTTCCATTTAATATGGAATTGACTATATCTCAAAAACTGCTCGACTTTCATAATTTTTGACAGAATTTTCGGATTTAGGGGACAATTTTACATATGAATTGGCTGTTAAATTTTGGGATACCTATGGTTAACCATGGTACAAGTGAAAAAGCAGCCACTTATAACTATTAAATTAGTCATTTTTGAATAATTCATTTTTAGAGAGTATACCTAGGTACAGTTGTATTCATTAAAAAAGCGTACAAGAATTAGAATGAGAGAAAACTGTCAACATTATTGCGTAAAACCGGCTTTCCACTGACTTAAGTCACTATAACTGACAGTAGAAAATAAAAATGCCTCGTCAGTTAAAAAAGCTCAAATAGTATCAAGAATCGAAGAAATATGGTCAATTCGTACTGTGGTATAATAGAAATAAAAAATCTATATTAAAAATTAAGCAACGCTGGGAACAGGAAGATTTACTAAACCAAAAAGTTGGTTCAGGTCGTCCCAAAATGTCCACCCCTGAACAGGATGCTGCTTTTTTGGGATATCTGAGGATTTATGGGAAACTATACAACTATACTATACCTGCTATACTGCTGGGAAGATATTAATCCAAATATTGTATTAAATTTAATTCAGTTCATCCCAAATAGATTGGCTCAAGTAATAGAAAAACAGGGATGCATGACTAAATATAAAATTTTTTTTTAATGTTTGTTTTTTCATTATTAAAAGGTAATAATTTTTGTAATAATATTATTAT